AAGTCAATGTAGTCCTTTCTCTGCTAGCAATGAAGAATACAGGAACATAGAAGATAAGGTCCAGATGGGTAATGTATGAGGTGTTAATGCACTTATGGATAAACAGACAAGAAAGATGCGAACAGCAATATTCACATAGAGAGTTTGAGCTGTCCTGGGAAAAATACCACTGCAACATTGAGCCACATCCCAGCCATGGTCTCCATCCACACCAGTTACACTTCCCTACCTGAAGAATTGTACTGATTCTGTAGTGGCTGATACCAGTTTCATGTTAGTTTACATCTCTCAGTGTCAACAAGTGTATTCCCATTTACACCTTGGTGCACAAAGGGATTTAAGGCAGTGGGTTTGCAGCCCTGAGCTGTACAAGACAGTGGAGAGTCAGCAGTATCGGCAGAAAGGTCACGACGTGTGTTGTTTCTGTGACAAAACAATTTAGCACCTCTCTGTATTTTACTCTCTTGAAAGCTGATACTCAGAAATACCCAAGAATAACTATAAATGAATAAGCATAATGCTCAGTTTTGCAATATTCATGCTTTTTCCCAAGCCATGCTTGGGAGGACACATTAAAAAAATTTGAATGTAGCCACCCACACCATAGTATATCAATCCACAAGTTATCAGAACAACACACACATCCCGGGTAAGAGACTATTGAGACTGCTTGTAGTCTCAATCTCAATAGACACTTTGTTTCAATTATCTGGAGTAAAAAAAGTAGCTACTTCTTTTAAAGCCACAACCCTTACATGGATTTCGAATATGTGTGACACTATGGAAAAAAGACAAACTAGAACACATTATCTGTCATCTAATCACAGCACTGAAAGGCGTATACAGAGACTGACTCAGAGCATACTGTGTAACAGCCAGCTTGTAATAAACAGAATATATATGGAAAATGTCAGATTGCCAGTCCTGAAAACTGGCATTCTTTATTCATAAAAACCACAGACTAGTTGGCTCTAGCTTTGTCTATGTCATTCCCACTAACATGCCTAAAGCCTAAACAGAATTAACTTCCTTTTGGATAGGTAAACCTCATTCACCTCCTCACTGAGAAAGTTAATGTGGAGGCCAATTAATTCCATTCGTTTTACAATCCAACTATCTTCCTCTGAGGAGGAACTGCAGGAAACAATAACAGGGAAGTAGTGTTGCCATTGTCTTTCTAACAAGTAATTCTGAATGAGGAAATCATTTCAAAGAAGCAAAGAACTGAACTTATCCAGCTGACCACAAGCGAAAGGTTTCATAGACATTTGTCAATCTCAGAAACATCCTGCTGATTTTCATACTTCTGAAATACAAGAAAAAGAAAGACAGATGGATTTCTCGATGTGAAAGTCTGGCTTGGTCATTCATTATCTGTGTAGTTTGATAATTACCTATTTCCTAGGTAAATTGCTTTGGACATTTACTTTGAGGTAGCAGATTAATGATTTCAGGAACTTGAAAATCTACAAAGCTTCCGGAAAAAAAATTTCCAGGTCAATGGTTATTGTACTTTTAGAAATCCAGAAGACAGCACATATTTGTACCTCAGCTTGTGCAGAGTTGTTCAAAACCTTGTCCAGAGCAACGTTCATACAGATGTTTGAGTCCACTAAATTTAAATAGCGAAAATAATAGTCAGTCCAGTAAGCATGAACCTGTGATTTACTATACAGAAGCAATAAAGGATTTCGAAATAGCTGATAACTAGGCTGTCAAGGTCAGTTCAACTAGATAACACCTCACCTCCTTGGTTGTCTTTAAAAGTTAAATTGTCAGAACACTTGTGAGCAATATGATATGCCTGGAATGGAACAATAGTCCCGACTTTCTGTTAACACTTGTTTCATATTGGCACAACTTCATTGGCTCTAGTGGAGTAATACTGCTTTATAACACTGTAAGAAGAGACTCAGTGTATATTATTGTTGTAGCAGCTTGGGTAGACCTCTCCACACAGTCTTGCACCTTAGCATGAGCTGCCAAAGCTCCCCGGGGACCGGGTGAGCACCTGCAGCCTCCCAGCCAACCCTCGCCAGGCACTGGGACCCAGTGCTCCCAGCTGTCAGATTAGTCTCAGCAGGACAAACCACAGCCACTCTGAAGTACACGTTGCAATATGATTTTCAGAAAAGTGACATTCTCACATAGTGCTGTACGACTCTTCTTACACCATTCACTCAGCCGGAGGCACCCTTCACTTGGCAAAGACAGCGAGGTTTTGATAACTGTCAGATTTGCTCTTTGCGTAACCGTCAGGCTGTCAGTCACAGAGCTGGGTGGATGGCTTTTTTTATATGCATCATTTCTTTTGATCCTGCAAAGGTTCAAACTATTTTCACCCTTTTTCAAAAATTTATATTGATTTTATCTTGTCATAATGGCAGAGAAATGTAACAATCCCATCCCTGGAGACCTCAGTACTGTGCATGCTGGGGAGAAACATGTTCAGGCTGTGCTATGGATGCAGAAAGCATCCTAACATTAGCATTCATTGAGGTCTGATAGGATTATACAGAGGGAAAGGGGCTGTAGGCATGGATTTAACACATTCCTGAACATTAGGGCTAGCCTGGATAGAAGGAATGGCAAGATTAATGGCAGAAAAGGAGTTTGGCATCAGATCTCGGTGCTGCAGGGCTCAACTCCCTGCACTTGATGACCTGGGATCCACCTTGCCGGGGCCGGCCAGGTGCCAGGCAGTGCCCACTATACCCTCCCGCCAGGAGCTGGGCTTTGCAAGCAGTTTCCCAGGTAGGGTGTCATTATAGCACACAATCGAGCAACTTGGAGGTATCATAAAGCAGACATTTTCCATTGTTGGATTAAAGTAATTTGATTTTGTAGAATTTCAAGTTCAAGCCCCTTGAGGATACTAAACAGAGGGATGAAAGTACCACAGCAACGTTTTTGCAAGACGTTACCATGAAAGACAAGATTTTTGTAGTCTTACAAAGCCTTTGCAATAAATTATGGAAGACTATTTATAGAAAAAAAATATAAAACTTTATTTTATTACAAAATTGACTATTACTAAATTGACTAGAAAGATTCAGATAATGCACAAATTGTTTTACACATTGTAATATGACTACATTTACACGTCTGAGTATGACAGCAGAGGAAAACAAAAAAAGAAAAGCAGGAGACAGACCAACAAATGCTAAGAACTTGTATCGTTTCAGAATGTAAAAAAATAAAAATAACCATTCATGGTTATATATATAAACCTGTACTTGAAACTGCATCATGGGAAAAATACACTAGTGACCCTAACAGCTAACATACGGTATTACACGCAGGGCAGTGACAACTTTAACCTTTAGGTACAGGTATTGAAATCTCCACAAGAAATGTTTAGGATCCTAATTTCCTGTGGTTCTTTGAAACATACATTTTATGTTACTCATCTGATGAAGTAACTATCCTGTTAGGATAATCGTAATTTCATAGTGGCAGAACCCATAGGATTCCAGTGATTCCGTTTATGGATAAGGCCTTTCATGCAATAAAAGACCACTAAGGTTTTACAATAAAGGTGTGATAAAATGGCTTGTGTGGGAGTTGGAGGCATGAAACTCTGTGGGTATGAGCAGAGTACGTGGCAAGCACAATATTGCAACTGTTCAAATCAAAGTACCGTGCAGGCATGAGGAATAAATCCTGTTATACATCTTTGTCCTTATTTCCCTTTTATTAAGGAAGTGAGTAACGTTAGGGAAAGCATACTTCTTTAATTATCCTAATTTTCAAGCCCTGTTGTTAGCCTTATCACAGACTGCCGTCTTACTTCTCAGTTTCACCCATGATATCGGTAATTTGATAAGGACTACACAAGTTTCTTTTCCCTTAAGCTGACTTCTCAAAGCTTTTCAACTCTGAGCTAACAGGGCCAGCTCAGTCGTGACTGTTGTTCTCCCAAGTGTCCTACATGACACCCACAAACTGGAAAGGAGCTCTTTCCAAGCCAGCCTGTTGAACAGCTTGAGGCTGTAATAATTTCCGTGCGCACTAACAGGAACTACACATAACACTCCCCAGCTCTGTCAAGCTCTGTCCTGTACAGTCCCTCAGCTGCACTAAATCAGTATATTTGCATAGGTATATGAACATGCTTGGTATTTTTCCTGCCTTTTAACAGTGCTAAGTACAGCTGAACTAACTAACCACATTTTTCCAATAAAACAGTACGGGAGCTTTTCTTGGTACTATTTGTGGCTCAGCAATTGTTCAAGGGACACATGTTGCAGTTTCTCCACTGGTTACCATAGACTTTGACTTTTGCAGTCGATGTATATTTTTTCAGAGAAGGCAGCAGCAGGGTTGCCATTTATTTTCTGCAAGCTGTATTAAAGAGAAAAAGAACGTATAGAGTGATCAACTATTTAACTTTTTTGTTAGCCTGTTTGTATAAGCTTGTGAACAGAAAATCTTACATTCAATTTTTTTAAACCAAAAACGTCTAAGTTGCAACATTGCATGACTATTTACAAATATATATTTCTTTTCTTTGTTCTTCTGCCTAAAGTCAAGTTTTCTTATATAAAGTCTGTAGTGCACTGGTGTACTGTTCCTCCACTAGATTTTTTTTTTAATCTGTACATTAATGCTCAAAATCAAATGCTATTTTCCAGGAACTATCTTCCAGAAATGCCGTGGAGAATTTATATTATAACAAAACAATGGCTATTATTTTCTCCAACAGTATATACATTTTGATTTCCCCATTTCTGATCTGCATCGTGCACAGAAGACATGCTCTCTTGGCATTTAAAACTAGACAGCTAACTTCAGAGCCATAAGCCATACAAAATTTGTCTTCTTAGTACCTAGCATATTTTTTGTTAAAAGTAACAAAACATGATGACATTTAATAAATCTCACATTGTGAGAATAAAGCTTAGAAAAACATCTGTTCTCTTACACTCACAGTTCTATGAAAATTCTAAATGAGGTTCAAAGAAAAGTCTCATGTACTCAGGAGACCCTTATGCACATACCTGATCGTCTGTGAAACGCAATGGGAAGCTCCCGGCTGGGAATCAGTGTTCCTGAATGGAGTGTTTCTACTGGTTTGTTGTCAGTTGCTGCAATTTGGTACTTGCGAATGAGCTGAAACATAAACATTTCAGTTAGCGTGCTTTGGCTTCTAGATCTTCTGACTGAACAACCAGGCATTGTGTACAGAACAGCATTCTGGAGTATTTACCCAGCAAAGGGCCAAGTGAAGCTGTAGCTCTGCTACGCGGCGCCCAATGCACATCCTCTTCCCGATGCCAAATGGAACATGAGAAAAAGGATTTATTAAGTTCTTCTGAAACCAGCGCTCCGGTTTAAACTGAGTCCAGCCATTGAAGTACTCTTCATTGCAACCCAGGGCATGGCTATTTATCATTAGTACGGTCTATAACAGAGCAATAGGGAGAGTCTCATTACAAGTTACAATAACTTAGAGCTACCAATTGAATCAGCTTGTTAATGGAAAAAAATAATGCAACAGTAGAGGTGAGGCAGTTTCCTCAGAAGTTGTCGTGTAATTCTCTGAAGATTAATTCAAACACAGAAAAGGTCATAGTTTCCTCAGAAAATCATGGGAAAGCTGGAAAAAATTTTTTGGTATAGCACACCAAAACTATTTTTGTCTAAATCAAACATCAGCGCAGGCAGGTATGGTTTTCCGTTTATGGGAATTCTCGGTGTGAATTCCTCATTCCTTATCCTGGGACTTGTCCTTTGGCAAAGTCATTCTGAGACTGAGACATGACAACTTCAGTGGTCTACGGGACAGTTAATCAATGACAAAATAGTCTAGGAAGATAAATTAATTGACTTACCCCTTTGGGCAGTACATAGTCTCCCAGAACCATTTCTGCGTCAATGGTGCGAGTGGTAAATGGCACTGATGGTGTTAATCTACAGTGAAAGAAACAAAACACATGAAATTTCCAGCATTTTTAATTCCTGTATCTATCATAGTTAGTTCACCTTAAACAGCAAGGTGAACAAAATTACATATACTAGAAAATCCTCTCTTCCTAGACTAGTTGGTAAAAAACTTTGTGACCATTTTGCTTTTTGCAAATTATTTGAGAATTTTACCTCATGGATTCTTTCAGACATGCTTTTAGGTAAGGCATATTCTTCAAGTTCTCAGCACTTGGACTCTCATTAGCAGCCAAAACACTCTGTATTTCCTGGAAAAGCTTCTGCTGAACATGTGGATTGCGTGAAATGTTATACAAAGCCCACAGTAAACTATTGGCCGTCTGAAATAAATCAAAAAGAAATGTAAGACCTCCATTTGTGGTGAGAGAAACAAGAAGTTGCCAAAAGTTCAAAGCAACATTTATGGCTGGTCACTGCCTTGTGATATTCTGTAAACCTAAGGGATTATGAGCTATCCCAGTTGTTCTCTAGGAGACATGAACAGAAGAAAGAATCTAGTGATTTCAGGTATAAATTCACTTGCATTTAGGGCACTGAAGCAAGTACAGGGTCAGCTCATAGATGCTGTGATGGTTAAATTATGGAAGAAAGCAGGGAAGTGGAAGGTGGCTAATTTTAACAAGCTCTTGGAAAGCCAGGTTTACCGTTTCAACTCCGGCAATCTGGAGCTCTGCAATGGCAGCGTACAGCTCCTTCTTGGAAAGCTGTCCTCCAGAATAGATGTCACACAGAAAATCCTCCTGAGGGTTTGCAGAGTGCTTTGCCAGTCGACAGTCAATTGAGTGCTTGGCTAAGGAGGGAGGAGCAGGAGGTAATTAACAGAAAAATCACTAAAAATACTATAAAATTAAAGCAAAACCACGTTTCATACACAGGATTTTGAAAGACACCAAGCTGTGCTCTTTTTTCAAGCAATTAGCATTCTATTGAATAAATAATGGTATTTTCATTTTTTTAGACCAAAAACTCGGTCACAAGAATCACTTCTGAATAGAAGGAGCTCTTGCAAACTATTAGGAATTTGGCTTCCTTAAATTAGGAAAGGAAATCAGTGATGTGTTGAGTGAAATATTTAGCAAACAGAAATACAAGCGTGTAAAATTTATTTGCTTGAATTTTCAAAGGGGATCAAGGTGTTAAAAAATCAAAGAGACTTAGCACTCAGACTCCCCAGGGGCAAATGTATGCCTTTGATTTACTAGGGGAAGGCAAAATAGATGCCAAATTTCTACATGCTATTTTTTTAAAAAAAATATAGAGGACTCGATTTTGACCACCCTTTCTCATGAATATCCTAATTGTTAACACCAGTTCCTAGTAAGGAGCTATTCATGTCAAATGAAGGTATCAAACTGTTTTTTTCTGAACAAAACTGGTTTAAAGCATCTTTCCTAAAACCCATGAACTAAGAAGCAATAAAATAAGTGCACGCGTGGCTGGCATGACCAAAAGTCTTGAAGTACCAAGTACTCAAATACCTAAGAAATATATCACTCGGCATTACAATCATTCAAGTGCCAAAACCTTCCTTAATTGCTAGCTACCACTGTCACTGTCTAGCAAAATATTGAAAAATATAAACTTAACTTCATATCTGGAGTTGGAGTAATTTTTGTAACTGAAGGCACCAATTCATCTTAAATAGACAGAAAATGTCGTCAAAAAGCCAAACTGTACCTTATGATTTAAGTCGCTTCTCTTTTTAAGACTTACAACTATATTCCAGGTTGTTAATCTATAATTTCTTTTTTTTTTTTTTAAGCAAACAGGCTTTTGTTGCATGTAAGATTCTTGTTTCTCAAGGAAACTACTCCCTTTGAGGTCCCTTTGAGGTAGGTCCCTTTTCTCACTCTTGCCTTTAAAGAGATTGTACACTTTCTGGCTATTTACCCTGATGGTAGATTAAAGTGGACTCATGATGTTGCTGGTTCCAAAATTTCTGGGGCTTCCCTGGGGAATGGGTATTGCCCAACAACTAGACCTAAGTGTTAGTCATAAGAAAACAGCGCTCACATGCTTGGAATAGGTTTGCGGTTAGCTGCAGCAAAGGTGTCTCAATCTGTGCCAAGGGCAGCAATTAACAAGAGCGTGGGGCAGTACAAGCATGAAGAAAGTTAATTCCACCAAGCAGGAAACAGAGACAAAGGGAAAGGAGAGAAATCATGTTTAAAACAATAACCTGTTTTAAATATATCATCCCATGCTTTAGTATGAGCTTGCCAGACTTTTGTGTTCAGACCCTTGTGAAGTTCCACGGGGGTCACCATCATCATTCCAAAAGTAGCCATCATCTGTGGTGGAGAAAGAGCTTTTGAGATCTTTCTTTAATTTACCTACTTGCAATGTCTGAACAAAATTAGACTGTAAAGTAGGAGGCAATTTTCAGTAAGTCAAGGTTCTGGCAGATTTTCCATCCTGGCCAGAAAGGATGGGTCTTAACCTACTAAGACTGAATCCAGCTTAAAATTAGGGACAGCCAATGGATAGGAGGCTTCTCCAGTGGGTGATTCATCATATCTGTTTAAGGCACCTGTTTTAGAATGGGTCAAGTCACCCTTTGGCGGTGCCTCTCTCTCCCTTGACAACAGATGGAGCTAAGAAACTAGGCTAGGCTTGATATCTATCTTCTAGATGGCTATATATCATCAGAGCCCAAGTTGCAGCAAAATGCACAGCAGGTGTGCTTGCAGGAATGACTAACCTCCAAACCCAGCGTATTTGCATAATCCCACACAACTCCAAGAGTCCCACCCCAGAAACGGCAGTATTGCACAACAGGAGTCTCAGAGGGAGAGGAAAGTCAATCAACCAACCTGACAACTCTGTTTCCAGGATTGCCCTGATGCCCATACAGCATTGTTCCCCTACAGATTTAGGCATTTCAGAAATGAGACAGTCGGGTGCTCAGAACTAGCTTTGCACATATAAGTGTCATCTTGGATGTGCAAGGCTGCCAATACACATGTAACAGGGAAGCTTTCTTTTTTCAAGTGATCCTTTTAAACTGGTACCCTCTCATTGGTAGAAGGGGTAGGAAATCACTCAAGCCCCAGTAAAGACTCTTCCATACCGTTTTTACCGCCTTGATGAAGTTCAAACTTTCTTCTTCTACATCCTGCTGCAGGAGACCAAACCTTTTTCCATACAGCACCAGACAGATACCTGTCATTAAGCAATATTATCATTAAATGATATAAACAAAAGGGTGCATGGTGTCCATCATTTATTGTCAAGGAATGGCTTGTATTATCCTTCCAAGAAATGTGCTATGGTACACACCTGTGAGAGCAGCACTTCAAAACACCTTCTGCATGTTTGCCTCAGACCCAAGTAGCAATATATCTAGCTAAGGTGCCCTTACAGCAGCACTCTCTTCACGAATAAAAATCACCACTGATCGCCTCACGAGCCACAGATCATTCTGCCAAGCAGGGCTGGCATATTTGGCAAATAAGCTATTAGGCAATGCTACTGAAGAGAAGTGAGTCACAGGAAAACTGGGCCTGAAGAGGCCATCTACTCCCATGTCTCCTAGGCCTTTCCACAGCCAGAAAACACTTGCAAACACTGGCAGCATCCCACACGCCACCAGTTTCCATCTCTTTCTGCTTGCCTTTTTTTTTTTAAATTTATTTTAAGATGTCACTTCCTATTTCTCCCTTTCCAAAAGCAGCCATCACCACTGACTGGAAAAAAACCCACCACTTTCAGGAACTCAGTACACAGGTTCCCAAGATGAGCCAGCCAAGAGCAGACAGGTCCAGCAGAGCTTGTTTGGTTACGCACTGTACTCAACCATCCCTCCTTTTGGGAGGCACTGATGCAGTTTCTTCTGCCTAAGTCATTCCTGGCAGATGGTTCCTTAGTGTAGTCTGAAAGGTTTCTGAAGATGGAGGCTCCTGTCTTGGTAACTTATTCCAGTGCTTCTCAATCCCAATGTAAACATTTTAAATAGGATTTCCAACCTTGTCTACAATGAATACTTCTTCACTGTTATTGGATCATTTAATTGACCTTGTGCTGCTGATAATTACAAACATCAGATGGACAAAAATGGTCATGTGCTATCTGATCCCACTCTAGATAAATGCACTGTGATTCCCCCAGGTTTTGGATTTATAAGTCACTATAATGTTTGAATTTTCTTGCAAGCCACATAGATAGCCAGATTTCTAGAATTTTCTATAGCTGCTGCTGAAGTTTGCATGCTTACTGATAGCCCCCTGGCTTTTCTGCAACCCACTTTCCACGATATTGTAGTTGATAGTTTGGAAATAATCAGCATACACATTCATCGCTGATCATAGTTTAAGTGAAATGCCAGGCAGGTACAAAATGCATACCATTCTCAGGCAAAAAACAACTTACTTTCAAATGACCATTTGTTGAATTCTGAATAGACATCTTCCATTTGTCCATTTTCATTACAAATATCATCTATTCGGTGCATGAAGTCCTCCAGGACCTAAGCAGTGGAGAGAAGAGAGAAAATAATGGAATAAAATGACACCAACTAATAAAAATCCTGTGTAATTCAGCATTTCAACTATCTTTTAAATAGATAACAATCTCACATAAGAGAGGAATAGTTATGTTTCCTATTATTTGAACAAGATTCAATTTCCCGCTGTCTTAACATATATTTTAGATTTTACGTGACTCTCATGTTATTACTGCTTGTCCCCTGACAAACTGAGCTTTCCTCCACAAGGATGAAATGCTTCAGTCTGATGCTGAGATAATGCTGGAGTTTCACAATAAAGAGGATTAAGCTGTCTATCACAGATGCTCTTCAAAGTCAATGAGGAACACAGAGGTTAAAGAGGGAGGTATTCCCTGACAGCAGAAACATAAGAATGAAGGGGTAAAAGCAACGAAAAGAATTGCAAGAAAAGTAAGCAAAACCGCTGTTTGCAGGAGCCCACACCATTGTGGAATACTTCCACTGTTCTGTGGAGACAGACAATCTCAACGACACGTTTCTGTATGGTCTCACTTTTGGTCAGACCCTGATAATCCGTTTATACTTATTATTCCCTGAATGATTTCAGAGTGTGAACTCATGGTTTTACCACTGTAGAGCAAATCGACACCTATCCAGGTAAACCGGATCATTTGATCTGCTTTTATTTCCCAGGTTTCCAGGGGAGTGGGGATAGAGAAAGAATTTCTTAAAGCACAGTACCTCATTGATCGTGGTATCCAGTTTCGCAACTTCCCTGGGTTTCATCAATTTCTTTTGAAAGGCGCTTCTCACTCTCTGCCAGTCCTTTCCTTCCCTAGGTCGAATTAAACCCAGCGAGGTTGAAAAGAGAAAGGCTTAAAGAAGAAAGAAGAAAAAAACCCAAACCCGCCGCCCGTGCAACAAGACATCTCCGGGCGCCGGCCAACGCGCCTTCATCGCACCGACGGGCGCAAACTTGACGCCGCAGCCGCTTCTCGGGGGACAGGG